GCGGCAGCACCTATCTTTAAGCCCTGTATACAGGCGACTATCATTATTAACTGCCAGTTGACACGAGGAAAGCGGGACGAAAACAAAGGAGAATATTTGATAACACGAACACTATTGGAGTTCGTGCTACTTTGCTTGGTGAAAACGTTTATTTGGATAATGAAACGATTCGGGTACCTATGCATCAAGGAAAAAAAATAAAACAACACGTTAAAAAGCCGAATTATGTTCACTGCACAATTCTAACAATTTTAACACAATGTACCGTAGACTTAGGCATGCTCACTCCCCCCGCTGATGCCTTGCCATAAGAATGGGTCTGGATTACAGTCGCTAGTTTTGTTGAATGTTAGTTAGGTATTGGTCGGCTCTCAGCAGTCACCAGTCACCACTACTCGATCTTGAAACCGAAAATACGAGCATATCCATAGCATTTGCAATGCAATTGATCTGAGAACGTCCGAGATGAATACAAACATGAATACAAATGCCAAGCCAAACATCCACAGTCGTGCAAGTGAGCGCTGAGTTGTCGCCAAGGAGGACAATCCTTGCCAGCCACATGTTGTCTGAAGATGACAGTGTCGCCGGATCGGAACGGCCATCCGCCCGCGGCGTGCCGACCGATCCTCCACTCCCGTGCCGGCGCCGCTCCTCTGTGGGGGACGGGACGGAAGCACGACTCGAAGGGGGCCGGCACAAACGCGGCCGTGGACAACTGTACGGGAACGTCTCACGGGAACGTCCTCTGCACTACCGGGAACGGTTCACGCATGCCCCACATCGGCAGGAATAACCGATAGGTACCTAAAAGGACAACTAAGAGACGTCCGTGAGATAAAACAGTCCAAGTAGCTCTCGCCACTGTGATGGGGCCCAGCAATGTCATGTCACGGCTACTCAGTAACCTGTGTCAATTCTGCACGGTGTCACTTCTTGCCAAGAACGGTGGCACTCATGAGTCGGGAGTCAGGGCCTACCCCCCCCCCCCCCCCGCTGTAAAGAAACAGCAATGACGACGCCGACCTTACCAAGAAGTTCTTGGTAAGGTCGGCGTCGTCAGTGCTGGTTCTATGCCTACAGCGGGAGGATAGGCCCTGACTCCTGAGTATGATAGTTGGGGTCCATGCTAAGGGTAAGACGGAACGAAGCAAGGGTTGCTTAAATCAGCCACCTCCGTTGAGTGGGACGAAGAACGGTTCCGAGTCAAACACCTTCCAGTATAGCAAAGCGCGGCCTCCTCGTCTGTCAGTTCGTGACAGTCCCCACTCTACCCCCATCCCCGCGCTAAGCGACTCAGAGTCTGTCCAGTGTCCACAGAGTGTCCCGCAGGCCAGACCAATTTAGATTCAGCTCTAAATATAGCCAGAGTTGACACGAGCTGACTCTGCGCAGACCCAGCTCATACACTTCTCAATGTCAGCTCGGGCGTGTCCAGATCAAGCGACATCAGAACGATTCATGCACGGAGCTAATGAGCAGTGTCCGAATAGAACCGGTAACGGCGGTCACAGACTTCTACGAACGTTAATTAAATATCCCGCCCAAAACGAGCGTCCTCCAATCATAATCAGTTATCGATGTTGGTAATTTGGACTAAGCGTTTCGCGGAAGTACCAGCTGACGCTATTGGACCACCATTACTGAAATGGTTTAACTTGCACAGCAACTTCGCCGCAGTACGTAACGACATTACCTACGCTGGTAAAGTGGATTTAACTGGGCGGCGCTGCTTTCACGCGGGTATGACGTCTGGATCGAGGCAAACCGTCACCGAACCTCGGTCAGTTTCAGCAGATTTCAAGGATGCTCCAGGTGTTGAGAGAGCTAATAGTATACCTGAATGCCATGCTTGGCGAGCCCCGGCGAATATGGCACCCCAGCGGATAGGGAACAGAGCATCGGTGAACCCAGATGGAGCCCTGCCGCCGGCCACCGCTCACTGGGCGGCAGCCGCCCCGTGCCCGCCCGACCGTGATTTAGCGCCGCCACGACAGGCCGAGCTCCGCGCGGCGCACCGCCGGCCCTGATAGATAAATAACATCCCGATCTGCATAATGGAACGTCTGGGGGCGCCGTTCGCAGCTGCGGAGCCCTAAGTTTCCGTTACGACCCAATCAGGACATTAAAGACGGCGCTGATCGAACGGGAGACCCGTCAAAATCATCCGGTCGGATTAAACCATCCATTCACAGTTCGACATTACGACGCCGGCTGGCGGACACCGGTGCGCGACCGGACGACTCGCGACATCGCCCCTCCGCGGCCGGCGTGGACACTGACCAGCAGAATGTCGCGGCCCGGCGACTCTTCTCCAGCCATGACTCAGCCGTCTGTCGGCGCCCATGACTCGGCGATCTTCCCAGGTCGTACGGCTCGGTCGGTCCGTAAGCACAGCATAAAGCCCTCCGGGACAGGAGTTCGTCCTCCCCTATACACCCATACTCACCACCGTAATAGCGGAGGGGGCCCGCCGCCCCTCGGTCATTTTTCAGTGTTCGCTGACAATCAAAACTGTTAATGGCAGCGAGCAGGGGGAGGCCATAGGACATCGCGACACACAGCGTCGCCTTTTAGACGTCCAACCACCAAGGCGCCGCGTTTCCTGGTGCTCTTACAGACGTTGAGATGATATCCCCATAAACACATATGCACACTTGAAAGGAATTCAGATTTCTTAGTACGATTATGCGATACGCAGACTCTTAAACCGTTCTGCCGCTTTGCTCGATTGCCGTCCCGGTGAGTCCTTTACGTCTGTCGTCTAGCCAAAGTCTCTGGTCCATTTCACCCTCTAGTCTAATCTTTCTCTTCTCCCTGCTTCATCCCCTCGCTCTATCCCTGAGCTCATCTAACGCTCTATCCGTGTCGCTCTATCCCGGAGTGCACCGTGCCGCCCCATCCCGGTTCCGCGGCGGCCCATACCCTGCTCATTGATTTCGGCCCAGTTCGCGCGTCCGACCCCGCTCGTGTAATTAATTACTGGGCGCCGGCGCCGGCTGTAAAATTTCCCGCGCCGCGCCGGTCCGCCGACGACCATCGCTCGCTCCTCACACACCAGGCAGAGTTACGGCCGGTACGGGTGCGTGACGCCGCCTCACAGATTGTCAGAGAATCCTCCTCAAACGGCCAGTGCGTGCCGTGATCCTACAGATTGTCAGAAAATCCACCTCAGACGGCCGAGGCGTGGTACGATACCACAAATTGTTAGATAATTACTTGGACGGACATTGGGCGAAAAAAAAATACACGCAGCACAAGGGCTTGTCCTGACACGACAGTTTTGCATTGTTATCGTACTAGGAAACCGAAAAGATTGGGTAACCGGTAGTATCCGTTTTTGCTTTTTGTGCTGTCTGCGATGTTTCATTTCGGGCGCTGTGCTGTAAATGCGCCGGCGGTGAGCGGAAATTGCAACTCTATTACTCATCTTCCCTCCATCCGGGCGCGTCACATTTGTTTCTGGCCTACAGCTGTTGCCAGCGGTGCGCCGCGAAGGAGCACCGGCGGCCCACGCGCCAGGCCGACTCTGCGCCCAGCTGCATCGATTCCACACGACATTTGGCAAATCAGACGGGCCACGTTTAAACAGGCCGGGGAGAGCCGGCTCGCCGCCAGTCGAGCGAGTAGAGTCAGCGTGGCGCTAATAACAAACTGTTCCACCAACAGTTCGTACCGGCAGGCTGGCTGCAATCGCCGTGGCAATAGGACGCTTCCAAATAGGTATTCCATGAAATATTTATGTGCGCTTGTGTCCTATGAAGCTAAACCATCATGTAGATAAACGGTGGTTAACTGTTACCGGGCGTTTGTAATGCATCAAAACCACCTCGTTACTAACGGTCTTAGTGTGAATCAGAAAAAAAAAACGGTGCATACTAAGCTCTACGCGTAAAGCGGCACTAACACACGTGTAGGTGCATAAATAACTAGCATACCTATGCTGTTTTCCCCTGGCAGCAGCACGTCACACGGCGAAACGTTTGACAGATTTCGGTTATTGCTGAGAGCGAGTTGTTTTATCTCGTGGTGGTGTGCATGAGTTTAGCACACAAAGCGTAATAACTATTAAAAATACAGCTGCTAAATAATGTTGCCGAACCAAGTACCTTATTGCTCATCATCACAACAGGGGTTGAAGCTCCTCAGGGGTTTAAAATGTCTCATGTCTGTAAAACCCCACTTGATGATGGACAGCCCAGCTTTTCACCGGGTGAACAAAAAAGTTTGCACGCAAGTCAAAATGTGAGATTTAGTCCATCATGTGATAGCTCCCTGTTCACAGAGCTTAACATAGAGCTAAACCATGTTCCATGAGTTAGACTAATTCAGCAAGTCGCGCAGGACTGTTAGAATTCTCCAATTTAACGGTGGGTTATTTCATTAGTTCACAGGATTTCTGTTTGGGGCACCTCATACGGGACCAGCCCCTTGTTCCTGTTCGCCCATACACCGCTAGCTCTAAACGAGTTACTGCGCCTCACGCCATTTCTGTAGCCAGATTTCGACCAACTGTCTGTTACGGCCTGTGTGTTACGCTGAGGGGACAGGCCCCGACCGATCTCCAGTCCACCCAGTGTCTTGTTTCTGGTCGAGAACACGCTAGCTAGTCGACCGCTCCTCTGTTCATGTTATGCAACTGGGCACTGGCCTCTGGGAGGCACTCACCTACCTAGGAGCTGCGCGGTGGTAGCGCCACCTACGTACCCACCGCCGCCGTCGCCCGACGGCGACGGCGCTGCGGCGAGTGTGCGGCCGTCGCCGCCTCCGGCGCGGGATCCACCTAAATCGGCGGCCCAGTGTCGCTTCGTACTGATTAAGCCGGCACTTAAGCAGCGGGAGTTGTACTGAAGTAATGTACAATCGCTGCGTCCACAATGCCGTCAGCACGGCGAGTTCGGTGGGTTCCGTTGTGCGCCGTCCCACCCGTCCCAGCCGTCACCTCCCGGCGGCCGCCCGCCCCGACCCACAGCGCGACGCAGCACGCCGCTCGGACCCACCTTGTCGAACAGTTTGCGCCTGTTCATCGTGTTGATGGCCATCTCCGCCGTGGACGGGTCGCCGAACTCAACGAAGCAGTACGGGTCGGAGGCGCTCTGAAAGCAGACGGCGTGGTGTGCCCGTCACTGGACCCAGACGCCCCCCCCCCCCTCCTCGCAGTCTCCCCTACCACTGCACTGCACACTGCACAGTGAACACAGGGACAAGACCAGGCCCAACATACTCGTACGGACCTACAGGCCTCGAGAACACTATTCAAGGCAATACTGTAACATCTGATTGACAAGTGAAGTGTGCTGCAAGCTTTCCCGTGCCAGTACCTGCATGTAATTGAAATCGCTAGCCCATGTGTGATAACCTATGTGTGTAAAATTGCGACGGCTGGTGCAAGTGTGGTGAATAAATAACGTAACTGAAACGGCATATGAATTACTTCCATGGCTTTAACATTTAGTTTGTTAAGGAATCCGGGCTATTTGGGAGTTTGCGTCCATTATCCATTTTGGAATGGATCGTTGAAAGACGGCGAGCATGAGTAAAAAAAAAAAACGCACAGCTTGGTGGTTTCGATTTTAGGGCATCCAATGGCGGCAATGATCGGTGACGACGGACACCACATCACTGCAACATTCAACAAAAAGGCGTGGCGAGAGGAAGAATCGTGACTAACCGATCAGTGGCGGATCCAGGATTTTCACTGGGGAGGGGCTGCAGGTCATAATTGGGCGCCACGCCCCGGATGGGCGCCATAGTCGCATCGTATTGGCGCTGAAATATTGGCGCCCAGTGGCCCTGACAAGAGGCGCCCAGGATCAGTATGTACAGTGACACCACACGATTGGAAATATCGGTGCGGAGCGTACTGAAACGACGTTATTCGACTGATTTTTGCATCCTAGTCCTAGTATGCGGCACTCCGATGAGTTGCGAATTGAAAATTGGCGCCACTGCGCCTTCGGCGCAGTGGCGCCAGTTTTCCTTGGGTGGGGGCTGCCAGCCCCGCAGCCCCCCCCCCTGGATCCGCCACTGTAACCGATACCCTACTATACTCGCCTCCAACAGCCCACACACTGGCCCGTATACCGGTCAACTTTGACACTATAACTCCTAAAAGCACAACTCCCTGACAGTGAATGACCTCGCTTGCCAAGTCACGCCATTCTGAACCGCCCGGCTCATCCAAATTCACGCCATCACATTGATGCAGGTCGTCCGGTGTACTAGGTTCCGCGTGATATTGGAACTGACCCCGGGCATCGCATAGGCTCTGGCTCCGTGGCATGCATAAGTCGATGCGGGAGGCCCGCGAGAATACACTGGAGTGGCTCCACGAGACACAGTGGACCACCTTATACACAAATCGAAAGTTACCCGTGAATCAATTATTGTTAACCTTCCAGGCGGTGGGGAGGGGCATTTTTTGCCCCCCACCCCCTTTAGTTTTTTCGATATATCTCGAGAACCGCTGCGCCGATCGTCACCAAACTTTCAGCACCCTCCCGGGAGTAGCCAGCGCACATGGTGACCAAACATTTTTCCAAAGGCTATGATAGGTTGGCCGCTAATGACGTCAGAGTGATGTCATTTTTGCCATTTTCGACCCAAAAAAGGTTTCGCGGAAAGAGCTCTCAGGCCTACAGCTTAAGAGATACAGAAAAATGTTTCAGACATAAAAGGTGTGGAATCAAGAGGGCTACAAAACTGCTATTTCGCTTTATCGATTTTTTTTTATTTTGACCCCCAAAAATAAAAAATAGATTTTTTGAATATAATAGCCTAAAAAACCAAAAAGTTTTTTGAATTTCGAAAAAAAACCGGAATATATGTGATATTCCCTACTACCTTCTATCTACATACCAAATTTGAGATCAATACCTCTTTTTTTGACCAAGTTATAGGCTATAGCGAAAAAAACTGTTCAAAATTGATGACGTCAAATTTTCAAACTCAATTTATAGCAATTCTAGACCTCGTAGCGCAAAACAAAGACCACCATTAGACTCCCCGTGACGAGCTGCATCGAATCAATACCCATTTTATGCAACAATATCAACTTTGAAATTTGACCTTTTTTGACCTGACCTTGACCTGACCTCCACCAGACAGTGACCTAAACCGTACCTGATGGTCTTATAACCAATACCATTGAGTTGGAAATGAAAAACTGGCCATAAAACATGCATCGCACAACCTTAGTAAAGTTGGGTTCATGTGGTGACCTTTGGTGACCTGACCTGTGACCTGACCTGGTATTTCGAAGCGTCTCGACGAGAGGAAACCGATCTTAGCAAGATAAACCGTTGTACCTTTCTTGAGTCAAAGGTAATTGAAGAAAAACATTTTTTAAACGGCTATTTTTCCAGTTTTTACCCTCTGGAGGCTAAATCTGTGGACACACTCCAGAAAGAGCGCTAAAATAGCTATCGGATGCGTTTTCCGAGGCGCTGTAGCTTTCTTGGTTGCCGAATTATGCGCCGGTGTTTCAAAAAAAAATGTTGAAATAGACAATATGTTATCTTTGATGACCTCTGGTGATCCGACCTTTGAATTCTGACCTAAAAAATGACCCAGCATATTATCCTCCTGATTTCGGACGTTTGGACGTTCCTGGGCCGCGTATCGCTACGTGGCCCAGGAGCCGATTAGAAGGGAGGTGAACACCCCCGGCCCGGCGAGGTTGGCGCCGAGCACCGGTCCGGCGTGGGTTACTGACCTGCCAGCCACATGTCAGAGCCTAAGATAGGAGTATACGAATCACCAGGACTGAAAGTGGTTAGGTTAACGTCCCTACAGCTAGAACCAAAGACGCAGTGCTCGGGCCCATTCCTTATCGAAAATCCATCGACTCCGCAGCCCTGGCACGAACACACCATTGTTTACCAGAAAAAGGTAAAGTACGTTTGCTGATAATACCAAAAATGGGAAGATTAGGTCACGAAAGAAGTTTTGGCTAGTGGCTGCTGCATGACAAGCTCCGTTTAGCGATAAAACGTCCGTCAGTCTATTAACTACTTCATTTCCAGCATCTGAAGTCATTCGCATACGGCATGACATTGTGACAAGCCCTGTTTAGCGATAAAACGCCTCGTCAGTCTATTTTATTCTCTACTTTGACTTTAAAGTACCTATCAGGTCATTTTCATTTAATGACCAGCATTTTAAAAACATTAACAGCAGTTTCAATAAAAGTGAAACTTAGAGTGAAGGGTAAAAATTCATATCTTAAATACTTTATCTACACTATACTCACACGGGTGTCGTATATACATAGCCCTGTTAGGGCATGAACCCATCAAATAATTACGAAATTTTAGCACCTTTTGGTAAGAATGGCCTTGATATCCTAAAATCAATCATTGCATCCCCACCAATAAAAAAGTGAGCCCGTGATAGCAAACATGGCCTACGAAGTACGCAGTTCGCAACACCAACCAAGGTGCCGATGCACTTATAATTTCAATACCAAAAGCAGCGTTTTAAATAGTTTCCTATATTGCCTGCCGAACACAATGAAGTCTGGCGTTGTTTCCCTATAGCCCGTGCGATGCACTATTACTAATCAATGCCACTTTTATCAGACCTATAGTCGCTGCCATTTATCTACGGGAACTGTTCTCGCGTCATGTTATTGCTCTCATTTCTCACAATTACACCACATCTCCGAACCTCGCTATTTACATTTATTAGCAGAGCAATGCCTCACGGCGTAGCGTCCGATACGGCATTTCCGTAATGGATATACGCATAGTAGCCTGGTGGGTATAAATCAACAGTGACCTATTGCGTAGGTCACACATCGTCAAGCACAGCAGCGCACGGATTATGTAACATACCACAGGTGAATCCCTACCAAATGAAGAAAGAAAATGTTTACAAGCAGCCAAAAGAAAACACAATACAGTAAACAGTAGCGTCGGAACTTCAACATTGCAGAAGCGCAATAGTAACCACATAAATCGGTTCTATTGATATTTCCACCCGCGTATAACGTCTGATTTCTCAGCGAAGTTCTAAATTATCTGTAAATTTTATTTAACTTTAAAGGGAATAGTTCACTTTCACGAAATTAGTTTTTTGGAATGGATTTATGATTTTTATGCTCAAAATGATCAGCAAAGAATATAAAACCTTTTTATAAAAAAGATTATTTTCTATATTTTAATATAGGAAGAACTCTTCAGTTTTAAAAGAGCGAAATGACCCCTGCAAGGCACACATCCCTGAAGTAAGGCACCTTTTTCGGGACCAGAAATGGAATATATTTGCCTAGGGTGATCGTTGGGCCGTAAAAGCTCCTGATTTGTGCTTGTCTCAGCTCAAGCTACGGAACTGCTATTCCGGTTCAAAACCCCATGGTGAACTATTTCCTTTAAGACTATTTAAATATAGTGGTAAAAAATATTTTGCTGATGAGATTTCGCATTGTTTACTTTTCAAGTAGGTATGGCTTGAGCTGGAAAGTAAGCACAACACTTTCGATTATTTTCTTAATAGCTTTTGACCTCGATATGTAATTAGAGGTTATGAGGAGCCGAGAACAAGCAAGGTGCTCGGTCTCCACCCACATCCTCACACATTTGGTAGTTGGAGTTTACCGACGGCAGGGCGGCGGTTGAGTTGCGTTTAGATACAGAGTCAGGTTTGCTTTCACCAGGCAGAAATCAATCATGCATTTCATTTTCGATATGAACTGAAGACATAAGCGTATCCGCAAACATCGCACACAATGAACATGCACTGACGGATCCAGAAAAGTGGCTTTGGAAGCTGTGGGGGGCGTACTCTGTAAAAAAAAAGTTCTACAAATTCGAAAAAAAACTCGGAATCGCTTGCTTTTGCCGCTGTTGTGCAGTTTAACCCGCGCCGTGCTGGGGGGGGGGCGTTTTTACGCCCCCCCCCCTCAGGTTTTTCGCGAATATCTCAAAAACGGCGGCGCGCAGCGCCGCCGTTTTTGGTACACGTGTTCCTACATCATTTCCGCACATGTTGTGAAAATTTCAGACCTAGGCCGTTCAAGGTCAGGTCACCAGGTCACGTCAAGTGACCTTACCTCAGAAAAAGTTCAAAGGCTCGCTATAGCTACACCGACTGAACG